TGAAATAAACAATAACATGTTTCTAAAATGCCTAAAATGAATTCTTCAAATTTCGTACCATTAGATTTAGAAGTTAACAGAATTGTGTGGATTGATATGGAGGTACAGTATTTACTTTAAATCAATATAATATTTATATTAACTTGCTAAAATATAATTAAGATGACTGGGCTTGATATCGAAAGGGACAAAATTATGGAAGTGGCTTGTTTAATCACAGACTCTGATCTCAATATAGTAGCAGAGAGTCCTGAAATTATTGTGGGACAACCAGAGAAAATATTAGAAACTATGACACCATGGTGTATCAAACAACATGGAAAAGTATGAAAATAAATATATACTTTGAAATGTTATCAAAGATTTTTCTATTATGTTTTCAGAGCTCCAAGGTTTCCCTCTACCTATCTCAAATTATTTATAATTAAGACACGTAGAATTTATCTTTAAATCGGTACAAGGGAAAAATTCTTTTAAATGAGTCATCTTATGCACTTCAAACAAGATTGCGTTACTTATTTAAATTTATTGCGTCGCTCGGATCAATTAATTAGGATTTCTTGGCACAATTACCAATGATTGTCTTATATATATATGTGTGTGTGTGTGTGTGTATTTGTGCCTTTAAACGTTTCGTATGGCCTTGCAGTCATGTCTGTAACAGAAGATACACTTCCTATGCCTTTTTCATTGGACTAATTAAAACATGTGGAACATGACTCAAATTAAAACAACTTAACTCAAGCAACAACTTAACTACTAAGTGTTATTTAATGAAATAGATACGTTGTAATGTACTTAAATGTAAAAGAGCGTCTTTCCTTTTTTGTAATCAATTATTTTTGCTTTTAACGAATTAATTAAAATGCGTTGTTTCGAAAGTGAAACTTGTTACATATTACAATGTCCATTAAAAGTATTGTAATAATTGTACTTTTGGGATCTTTAATATAGGAAAAACATCAGAAAAAATGACTGAACTAAATGTTTTAAGCATAGCAGTTTGAAAAGAAGTAATACAAAATATAATAATTATGGTACAGAATTTATGGAAGGAAGTGTTACTTCTTGTTTTTGTGGTAATTAATTGTGTCTCCAAAAAAATTACAACAGTAGAAGATGACGGCTACTATTTAGACTCTTTAAACGAAGTTTCTTACAATTTGGGGTAAGTATTATTTTCGTGTAAAAATTACCAGAAAAGTTTTATGACTTTGTCTTTTAGTCCTGATACCCTAACATGTCCATCTAACAATGTTATAACAACAAGATATAAATGTGAAGTAAAAGGAAAATGGGTGGATTGTACTAGAAAACATTGCTGTAAAGACTACATATTTGTTGCAGGGAGGTATGTAAACGAAAATTACATTTATCAATTATTTACTGATCTGAATATTGAACCTTTAAGTTGTATTTATAAAAACGAAGACCCGTGTTCCCTAAAACCTTGTGAACAACGTTGTACTGTATTTTTTCAAAGAGTCATTTGCACCTGTTATGAAGGCTATAAATTCAGCCCAGAAAATCAAAAAAAAGGAATCAAACCAACATGTATTGGTAAGCATCAGAAAAAACCTCATAATACATATATTTATTAGAAAAACACATTTTAGACATTAACGAATGTCAAGATGGCAATTCTAACGACTGCGAACAAGACTGTATTAATGAAAAAGGGGGCTACAGGTGCGCCTGCAGGGAAGGATATGTCTTAAGGGAGGACAACAAAACGTGCACCGTAAATCCTCAGTCAAACGGTGTAGAAATGGAAATGGCTGCTCATAGGGACAGATGCTATGCAAGTTGTGACACCGTTAGCCAATTACATGAAAAATACCGAAATTTACAAGAAAAGGTGTGTAAACAATGTTAAAAAAAATATTTGTTCTGATAGAAAAATAATTTCAGGTGTCAGGATTAAGTACAGCGGTAAAAATGTCCAGTTTTGCCTCAGGTCCACCGGGTCCAACCGGTCCTCCAGGACCCCCTGGACCACAAGGACCTCGGGGATTTCCTGGTAAATTAAATAGATCACTTTTTTGACACGACCAATACTTGTTATTTTAACGTAATTTCAGGCCCTGAAGGAGCCTCATCTTCGACGCTAATGCAAAATCAACAAGGATTTGGTTACTCGGAATTAGATGCTTTCGTCCCACTATCGGGGGACGATTCAGCCTTTTGCAGATGCAAAAGGGGGATGCAAGTAAGCATTAGATTAATTTACAGAAAGCTTTAATAGACAGAGTTATATTTAGGGTGAACCTGGACCACCTGGAGCAAGAGGACCCAAAGGGGAACAAGGAGATCGTGGTCCTAGAGGGCCTAAAGGAGAACGAGGAAACATAGATTTTGTTCTACTTCTTCTAGCAGAGCTGAGACATGATTTAGTCCACTTACAAAACAAGGTTTACATCAACGGAGAAAAGTAAATATTACTTAATTAATAATTAGATGATGATTAGTACATTTGCAACACTTTTAAGACCACCCAAATTTGATTANCTCTTCACGTTCCTAAAGCGCCGGGCTTTGCCTCAATGTTAAAGGAAGGAGCTAGGGTATGTATTACTGTTTATATTATTGTTTTATGAAGCATGTGGCTTTAAAGAAAGATGTTAGTTGTGGGCGTTATTTTGATGTACATGCATTATTTTAGTACTTTTCTGGATTAGAAGAAGCTGTTTATCGAAATATCAATGCCTGTAAGGAATTTGCACAGTCTGTGAGGACAGCCTATGGCCCCAATGGCATGAATAAGATGGTTATCAATCACATTGAGAAGCAGTTTGTTACCAGTGATGCTGCCACTATTATAAGAGAGCTGGATATTGAACATCCTGCAGCTAAACTAATGATTTTAGCCAGTGAAATGCAAGATTCAGAGGTAGGAGACGGTACAAACTTTGTAATTATACTTGCTGGAGCCCTGTTGGAAAGTGCTGAAGAGCTTCTCAGATTGGGAATAACTCCTACTGAAGTTGCAGAAGGATATGAAAAGGCCCTGGACAAATGTCTTGAGATCCTACCCAAACTTGTATGTTACGAAATTAAAGATTATCGTAATGTCGAAGAGGTAAAGAAAGGCATTATAACAGCAATTCAGTCAAAGCAATATAGAAATGAACAGATCCTTGCTGATTTGGTAACCAAAGCATGTGTTTCAATCCTACCAGAACAGACCACCTTCAATGTTGACAATGTCAGGGTTTGTAAAATATTAGGATCAACCCTAAGGAATTCAGAAGTCGTTCAAGGAATGGTTTTCAAGCGTCAGGTTGAGGGCGACGTCACCCAAGTAAAAGATGCCAAAGTGGCAATCTACAGCTGCCCAGTTGACGTCATGCAAACTGAGACAAAGGGTACAGTTCTTATTAAAACAGCAGCTGAACTGGTCAACTTCAGTCGTGGGGAAGAAAATCTGCTTGAGAAGCAAATCAAAGACATTGCCGACACTGGGGCAAAAGTTATTGTGTCTGGAGGCAAGTTTGGAGACATGGCCCTTCATTATGTCAACAAGTATGGAATGATGGCTGTTCGATTGAACTCTAAATTCGATTTGAGAAGATTAAGCAAAGCCGTAAGTGCTCAAGAGCCTTTCACGCCACACTTTTATACTGTGTATTAAATAATTAATTGGATTATGTCCTGTTTAGGTAAATGGTACCGTTCTGCCGAAGTTGTCACCCCCAACTGCGGAAGAGCTCGGTTTTTGCGACGTCGTAGCCGTAGAAGAGATGGGAGACACACCCCTGGTCGTATTTAAATTGGAACATAAGGACTCTCGCATCTCCACTGTAGTCATACGAGGGGCCACAGACAACTACATGGACGATATCGAAAGGGCCGTAGACGATGGCGTCAACACTTTCAAAGGCATCGCAAGAGACGGACGTTTCGTACCAGGTGCAGGGGCTACAGAAATGGAACTTGCAGTTCAGCTCGCCAAATACGCCGACACATTCTCAGGTTTGGAGCAGTACGCTGTCAGGAAGTTTGCCCACGCGCTGGAGAGCTTCTCGAAGATCCTTGCCGACAATAGCGGACTACATTCGTCAGTTGTCGCTGACAAACTCCTGGAGGCTCACAGGGTAAGTTGTTGCTTCAATTACGTTAAGTGTTCGGTTGTACGTTTTGATTTTTCTAAAGGAGGGAAAGAAGAATTATGGGGTCGATATAGAGTCTCAATCTTCAGTTTGTGATGCACTAGAAAGGGGTATTCTAGATCTTTACGTGGGCAAGATGTGGGGCTTGAAATATGCCGCGGGAGCAGCTGCCACAATCTTGAGAGTCGACCAAATAATTATGGCCAAGAGGGCCGGAGGACCGAAAGCGAGACAAGGGCCTCAAGACGAAGACGATTAGAAAGTTATTATTTGTAGCTTGTTTTCCACTTTCGCATTTTTTCGTAATATTCTTACCAACATTATTATTATAATTATTAATTCGCCATTAATTACTTAATGATTTTTTTTTATGTAGAACCAATGATGAAAACAAAATAAACCAGATTTGCAAAAATAACGTTTATCAACTTATAAAAAAGGAACACAATTTTTACATTAGTTATTATTATTAACTAAAGCAGTCTTTACGTTATAAAGGAACTTTTTTTGTTAGTCTTAAAATCGACGTCAAGGCACAGAGACCACAATATCTAAATACATTATTTCATTCTTTTTTAAAGTAATATCACGATTTGTACATACATTGACTTAAAGCAACATACGATACAATTATATTTAACACATTAATAAACTATAATGAGATCCTTTGGATTTTAAACACTTAACGGATACGTGTGGGGGGATGTACCACGACTAAAAAGGTCGTCGAGGGACACCCCTTTGTAACTAATATTCAACTGCCTTTAATAATAACGTTAGACTCATTGCACGAACAGTTTTGTACAGTAAAACTGAAAAAACGAACAGTAATTGATATGAGATCAAAAAAGTGAGATCGAAAAACGAAAACATAACCTCAAACCCTCTAAATAACGAAAAATAAACTGAATTCTTTGTTTCTTGGTAAAATAATAAAATTTTACGTCAGCGTTTATTTGGCGACCGCTTGTGGGGCAGACGAGACGGGCGTGGGGAATACAAACCCTTGAGAATTAACATTCGAGGGGTACCACGCAGGCTGGGGAGTACGAGGGGTTGGAAAGACGAAAGAAGCGGGGCTCATATACTGCACATCGGCCGGGGGTGTGTATACGGACATGGGGGACATCGGGATCACTAAATCGGCCACTTTGGGTTGCACAGTGGGCGTCGGAGGGGGCGGGGGGATGTAATAAATAGGCGTACCTGGATGGGGGGACGGAGGGTACATTACAGGGTAGTAATCCACTTGGGGGGTGGTCGGGGTCATGGGAGCTGTAACGATTGCCCTCTCGCAAGGGCTTGCGGGGTTTGTGTAGGCGGGGGAGTGATGGTGATGATAATAATAGTACTTGGGGGGTGTGGAGTAGCTGTCTGGTATTGTTTGCACCTCTTCGGGATTCTCGCAGGGAATGTAATTGATGTCGGAGGGCATCACTTCCGGAGTCGGCCAAGGGCTGTAGCTCTCCACCGGGTAATTGTAATAATACTGGATGTTCTGGGGAGGTTCTGAAAGAAACGTACAACGCATTAGTTACACGACGGTACGATTTTTCTTCGATTTTATTACCTGGATACGTGAAAACGGGAACGACAGGTTTATAACTGTAAGGATGGGGACTCTGGGGATTGTTGGGAGACTGCGGCCACATGGTAGGATCGGAGGCGTAAGCGATGGGCCCCCATTCGTTCATCCATTGCACTTCAGGTTCCTGTTGCACCGGCGTATGTTCCATTTGACTAGGAGGACTAGCGTCGACAACGAGAGTTTCTTTCTCGTCTTTCATTTGCTAAAAAAAAAGAAAAAGAAACAATTCACAAGCACGTAAAGAATACTTAGGAAGGGTGTTCATACCAAAGGACACCCTTCGTAAGCGCTCACATTGACTTCTCCGACGTTTTCGGACGTGTTACTGACGGCTACGCCCGACTGCGTGCTGCTCTCGCTCAAAGACTTGTTGCGTTTCTTTTCCTTGCGCTTTTTCGCGTTCCTGTACTCCTTGCTGGGCAACTGCAAGGGGGTAGGGTACGTGATGAGATTTCTCGAGAAACGATAGGGCAAAGGCCACGGTTTCGCGTCGTCTTCTGCCCTCAAATCTGTGTATAAAACCGTACGAAATTCGGCCAAGCTCGTCACGTATACCACGCATTTGTCTTCGTTTTTTATGTGCTCCTGGATGTAGCACGACAAGTCCTGGCCGTTCAGACGAAGTATGCAACGAGTCCCTAGTATCAACTTGTTATCTCCATTGTACCATTCGCCTAAACGTAACTCTGCACAAAATAATACAAGTTGTTTTAACAATCCAAACAAAACAATATCGTATTTTGTTTTAACTTTGTTTCTACAACAACGATTATAAAAAAAAAACAATAACCTTTATTCATTCGTTTCAATTGTCTTAAACAAATGATTAATTGTTTAAGTGTTTTATTTTTATGAGAAACAAACGCACCTCTACGCACTTCGATCCACGTATCGTATTCTATGTTTCTGTAAATAGTGGGATCCAATGCCTTTGCCACTTTGAATGGGAATGGGGCCAAGAGCAGGTCTAATGGGCCCCTGCCACCCTTCTCCTCGTCATTTTCATCGATATCACGATCTCTTTTAAGTTCATTCGGTCCCTCATTGTCCGAATGGCACCTGCCTTGTAATTTGGTCTGTTTGCCATCTTCACTTGAATATTCTGAGTTGTTTAACGCAAGTGCAAATGCGTTTTTATCGTAAAGCATCGAATTGACTATGGCAGAAACGTTTTCGATTTTGAATACGTTCTCGTACAAAATACTGTATACTATAGCTGTAAAAGTAATTTTTTTTTATTACAAAGATATGCCATGAGTATCGAGTACGTACACTGACAGAAACCAGCTGTCATAATGTATTCTCTCTTATAGACAACGTCGTAATGGTCTTCGTTAGTTTTACAAAGCAACAACGTCCCTGAATATCTATTGTTAGTAACGTCCTGAACTCTCAAACGTATACCATCAAAGACTAGCACTTCACGTCTAAAATAATGCAAAATGAAACGACTGTTAAACGTAAATTGTGTATTTGCATACTTGTAAAGCTTGCTAATAATTTGGATCTCAATGTTATCACAAACAACCATGTGTATCTTGAGTTTTTGGAGGTGGTCGTACCATTCCATTTCATTCTTAACTAAGTCAGCAAATTTGTCGAAATTGTCTTTGGCATATTCTATACACTCTTTCCGTATTCTTTCGTGATACATTTGCGAGAAATACAACTGAAATTAATTGTGTTGTTATCAGAGGTGTACCGGATAAATGTTAATGGGTGTATTTTTACTTGTTCAGACACTGCTCGAAATAAGCATGTTTCATCATAAGCTATGTTTTTTCTATAGTAGCCTAAAGTATCGAGCCAATTATCCACAGCGCCTGGATTTTTCCCTTTTTTTCCAAATTTAAAGGACATCTTTTTGGTACGGTTCAGGTAATCGAAACAGGGGCTGAAAAGTTTGTTGAAATGACCATATTACCATTTAATGTTTCAGCAAGACAAGTTTAATAGATAAACAAACGAATTACTATCTTTAGCGTTTGTTTCTTTAATCAAATGACAAATAAATGTTAACTTGCTTCATTTTTCATACAGAGTTTGCAAAGTTACAGGTACCTTAGAGATTAAACAAATGAAATAAACAATAACTACAGTTGAAGTACCACTTATTAAATAACAAAAGAAAGTAAAAGACGATTTTCTTACCTTTCTATTTACATTTAAATCAAAACGCACGTGGATCTTAACATAACGTTTGAAAAGTTTTTTTTATTCGTGTGTTGATGTTTGAGCATGCGTTGTTTATTTCGGACGTTCTCAAACAGTGGTTCTATGATCAGCGGTCCTCATTTCTCATTTACTTTTATTTGAACGAGCCATTATTTTTTTTACAATCCAATTATAATTTTTATTATCAACTTATGAAAAATTTTACGTGTAGCAGCAAAATTATTCAAGTTTAATGTACTTACTGTCGTTTTCGTGTTTAAATATGAACATACAGGACGATCTTAACAAATTAACAAGTAATAATGAAACAAAATTTAATTATTTATATCTTTTTACTGAAAAGCACCATAGTTATGCAACTTAAGATATTACACAATGATTTGCATTCACTATACATAAAATAAGTACAAATAACGCGTGAGCATACCTTTGCAGTATTTGTAGTTCTTATAATAAATGCAGATAAAAAATAAATTCATATAAATCGCGCGTTGCTTGCTTTTTTGTAAACTTTTATAATTACATTTATCAAAATTCGTATAAAAGTATCAAATTAATAATACAAGTAGGATGATAGTGGCGGTCGGTCGCCATTTTATGCGCTCTTTTCCTTGTCAATTGTTTCCTTCGTGGGTAACGAGTTCTTTTCTAAAGTTTCGGCGTGTTTTAACTTAGTGGAGTCGAAATTTTCAATTCCAGAGAGCAATTGTTTTTGGCCTTTTTCCAGTTGAATAACTGAAAGTTAGAAACAGTTGATATCAAGAAACAAATTGTTTCTTTTTTTTTATGATAGAATACGTTAAGTTAGACGTGTACTTCTTCAAGCAATGGCAAAGGCAAAAAAAGTGCATTTCTACATGCGAATAAGTAACAAACTATATGCAAATGCAACACTTTACCTTCTGAACCTGGAAGCACGACTTTTTCGGTTGTAGTCGTGTGTTTCATGGTAGTTTTATCAAAATGTTCAACTCCATCTAGCAACCTTTGATGAGTCTTTTCTTGCTGCACAACTAATTGAAAACAACACATTAAACAAGCGATGACAACAGTTTGTTTGACCATAATGAGAACAAATGAATTGGTATTATATCACTTTCAAAAGTTTTAATTTCAACTATTATAACACGTACTATATTTTTAAGGAGAAATTAGGGACCTGGGTGACCAAACAAACCGTTACCTACCTTCTGAATTTGGAAGGACAATTTTTTCGGTGGTTGTGGCGTGTCTCATTGACGATTTGTCGAAATGTTCAACTCCGGTTATTAAATTCTGATGATTTTTTTCCTGTTGGACGGCTACAGTGTAAAAAAACATGCATTTAAAGCGAGGCCAGAATCAGTGCCATTTATAAAATAAATGACTGACAGTTTTATTAAGCACAATTGTTACTAATTTGGCCAATAAAGTTTCGTCCAAATGGGGAATCTCGTCATTATCTAATTTTAGAACTTGAATTGCGACGATTGCAGAAACAATCGTTTCATAACTTTTTCTACATTCAGTTTAATACAATAAAAGATGACAAATAAGTGCAAACATAAGTGTATAATATTTCTTGAGGGCTTAAGCAGCCTAAGCTTAATAAAAACTATGCACGGTGCGACATTAAAGACAAATGCACACGTATCTACACAAACATTTAAAGCAGAGATGCATTTGTTTATTTTTTGCATTCACGAAAACAAAAGAAGTTTCTTTCGACTTACCTTCTTTATCAGGCAATGGATTTTTCTCCTGGGTTTCCGTGTGTTTCAATTTGTTATGATCGAATTTTNTTTTATATCTTAATTTGGTAATAAAATTATTTTATGATGAGAAAAACGACGGTTTTTACCTTGTTTTGTGTCGGTGCCCAGTTGAATGATTGGTAACAAGAAGGGGTTGAGTTCGGCACTGGCGGGTCCCAGGGCTTTGACTAGTTGCACAAGAGTGGACACAATGGCGCATCTGAGCATGTTATGCTCCTCCGATTCCTTCCAGAGCAGAGGCAGATAATGTATGAGAGCTTCAGTGTGAGGTTGAATTGTCTGACCCACCCTTTCTACCACAAGGGTCATCACGTTCAAAACGTGCATCTAATAAATTTAAAATTTACAATTACTACATAATCCCAAAAAAAAATTAATAATCATTACTTTAGTCTCGCATTCTGTGGTTTCTTTCAAGAGACTAAATAGAAGATTGAACGTAGTGTCTAAATAGGGTCTAAACTGCTCAGCGTTGAATTCAAAGTCGTCTACGCCATGCCTGAGGGTAGTTGAGGTGGTCAATCTGACTGCCATGTCCTCATCGGAGCCCAAGAGGTTTATAATACACTCGTAAAGAAGTGGTCGCAAATCTGTAGAGAGCTTAATCCCAGTCCAATTGCCAATTAAGCGTGACACTCTTCGTCGAATTATGCGATAATTAGGGTCTTTTACTTTCAACTCTTGGACTAAGGTGTTCGTGAACCATTGGTCAAAATCGATCTATAAATTGATCACTTTTATGGATCGTAAAAAGCAAATCTACTTGCAATGGATGCACAACGAATATTACCTCATCATAAAGATCATAAGCTCCCAATCCGACTGCATTATAAACAGCGTCTTTTTTTAAAATTCCCGAAAGATCGTGAACATCCACTACAGTTGCTGTCTCCTTTATCATCTCCACCATCACGGGGGCCAAAGTGTCCCGGTATTCATGAAATAAGGTCACGAAAACCGTCTCAACACAAGGCTATCAAAAAAATTGTTTAGACTTCAAAAAATGATTCAAGAATTAATATTTACCCTTAAACTGTATTTCCAGCTTTCTCCTACTTCATCATTGGCAAAGGTTTCGGGATCAGCGTCCCACAACTCCAAATCATCCCTTTTTAAAAGCATGTAATGCGAAACAATTTTGCGACAAATATCGGTAAGAATTTCAGGTTGAAAGAAAGAAACTTTTATTTGGTTCGCCTCTTGGGCAATATCTTTCGTTAATTCCGGTATTTTTGCTAATTTGTATTCAGAACATAAGAGAATACCTTTTATCAAGTTTAGACACTGAATGATAAATCGTTCATACGTGTACTGAGTTCCTTCAGTAGTAAACAGATAAAAAACTGTAAACTCTAATGTGGGACGAATAAAACTAACAAAAGATATGGGATGCATGTCCAATACGCTCAGAAGGACTTTAGTTAGATGGATTATGAATTTTTCACATAGTTCAAGCACATATATACCTTTCCCCCTTAATTGCTTCCCTGTAATTAAGTTGTTAATTGATGTCTGTAGTGAATCTTGGCTCTATAATTAATTTTTAAACTTACTACACTCTAATGCAGTTTTAGCTCTTTCAAAAATCATCTTCAAAAAGCAAAGACAATCCTGTTTTTCATGCAACTTGTGAAAACCAAATACTGTTAGTTTTCTTAATATTCTAAGATTAAGCAGAGCCTTTTCTAAGTTTTCTGTTACAATTTCGGTTGCTGCGTCATGATTAATGCTAGTGACAAATGCTTCTGTAAAAGTATTCCATAAATTCAAAATAAATGCAAAAATGCTTGCACTAAGTTCCTGAAAAAGTCTACGGTCTCCTGCAAAGAGAAACTCACATTCAAACAGTGAACAAAACCATAATTATACTTTTAATTTGTCACCTGCTAAACGCTTGGAAGAAAGGGCTTTAACTACATGATACAATATTAGTAAAGCACGGTGCTGTATTAAAGGATCATTATTTTCTATAGCTTGTATAAGTGTAGGTATCAACTCTGGCCATTCCCTTGGACAATCAAACCTGGCAATTTTTGAAATCAAAACCCCCAACTGTATGGCAATTTGATTCACTGGTTCTGCAAAGGTAGTTACTAAGCCCTGTCTCAATGATCTTTTTTCCTCCTCAGAAATTTCACTGAAAAAAGGTGCTCAATTACATAATATTTCATAAAGACTACTGACACTTACTTTGGAGCATTTTTACGCCAGTATTTGTCAACACCACTCTTCAGGTATAACACTGCTACAAGCCTAACATTAACATCCACAGAATGGTTGGTAACTATTTGCTGCAAATAAATATTGATCAAGTTTAAGATTTAGCAAATAATTTAAGGTATACCAGTAGGACTGAATAAAAGCCAGGTTGTATTTCCCATTCACTTAGTTTTGCCTCTGCTGGCTTCAGAATTTCTGAATTTTGACTTGATGCTCGTTGTAGAACATCCAGTACCATTGCTTGTGTAGACGCAAGATCCATGATTATATTTAATCATGACACTCTGACCTACCATCAAGAATATGTTAATTATGAAAATACACCAGTCATTAGCATAAGCAACAAAAACAGAACTATATTTTATGTAAAACTTGGACAAGAAGAAATATGAACTATAACAAATGTGAACAAGTACACCTCACTTTACCTAACGAACTTTATTTTTAGTTAATCAGAAACGTTTAGTTTTAAATAAGTTTGCAATTTTTTACAGAATAGCACATTTTAGAGCACATATCCTTAAAAACAACCACAACCGACAAAGCGAATTAGAGAGGTTATGATTAATACATAGGATCTGTGGGATCTGTCTGTTTTAATCTACGATACTTAATGTTCTCTATGAACTAATCTATGATTATAACCTATATAATATAACGTTATTTATTTTAATGTGTTTTAAGGTAATGTATTATTTAATAAAAAATTGTATATTGTTATTTTCAACATTTGCTTCTTCCAGATAATGAGTACAAAATTTTTTAAAAATGTAAAAATGTTTACAGTCCTTAAAGGTATTAATAAGAGAAAGGCTCCCTTACCAGTAGCAAATGTTTCTAAAATGCCTAAAATGAATTCTTCAAATTTCGTACCATTAGATTTAGAAGTTAACAGAATTGTGTGGATTGATATGGAGGTACAGTATTTACTTTAAATCAATATAATATTTATATTAACTTGCTAAAATATAATTAAGA